AAACAAACAAAGAATAAATTAAGAACTCTTGCGAAATGAATACATTAATATTGATTCGTGGAAAAACAGGACAACGGTACTTTAATAATATAAATATATATATATATATATTTTTTGAATCACTGTCAATTATAACGGTCCCAAGATTTCATTAACAGCCAAAGGAAATCGCAGCATGCAGTATGCTGCAAGTATGCAGCGGCAAAAGCGTCCACAAGGCGATCGAAGTAATCGCCGAATTTCGATTAGGGCCATTTCCGTGTGCATTAGCGCACACAAAACGACGGCGCTCGGGGCGCTACTATAATCTATGACACCCACGGCATCACTGATGTACTGCGGACTTTCGATGTAAATCTGAATCGGGAATCGGACTCACGATGAGAGGTTTTACACAATATTTATAGGTACGGCGTCGTGTGACATGCACTCGCTGCCACAAAATATTTACCGCGGTCTTAATACTAACCCTACTCGGGGCTTTATCATATTTAACTCCAGAAATCCGTGCCAGTCAACAAGTACACTTTTTTAGCTTTATTAAGCATTAACTATTTATTGATTTATACTTTATTGTAAAAGCAATATAATAGGAAGTACAGAGTCTTATCGCTCAGAAAACGATTTCTTCCACACAACCATTGCGAAAACAATTATTGCTAATGAGACATAAAGAAGAGATCAGAGGGAGGTATACATGAATCACTTATAAACATCGGATGAAGGCATTCATACATAAATGAGATAGTCAAAGATTTTCGGGAATAATAGGAAAGGAAAAAGATAAAGCATGAGTTCACAGTTCCAAGTAATGAGCTTTTAACAGGTTTTTAAAAGAAAGAAGTGACTTAGCTTGTCCAATGTGACGGGACAAAGAATTCCACAAACGCACAGCTGTCACAGTAAAAGATTATATTTAACTATCATGTATATTGTGCTGCGGTTGGGCCACGCAACAGTTTCGCTAATGGGCAGGTCCGTCCGGGGAAGTACCACGACCTCACAGAAGACCTGCGTGAAGTGGAAGCGATAAGACACATCTGCCTTTCATCCCGTTATTTAGGTACCCGAGGCTCATTATATTAAAAGGTGGCAACGCGTCTGCAACTCTACGGATGTTGCAAATGTCCATGGGAGCTGATTATCATTTAACCACTAGCTTACGACTTTCATACATAAATAAAAAAATCAATAATCGATATATTGTTAATAATATAACGTTACTAGGCATGATTCTTTTTGTCATATTTCTCGAGCAGCAGCAGACGGTCTCAGAAACGCCTATACCATTGCCCGACCAATGGTGCATCCTTTAACAAAATAAACTATAACTACGTTGAAAAAAGCAGTGACGCACCACAGCACGACAAACGGGCGACCATTTTCTAAGTCGGAATAATCCGAATTGAAAAATGGCCACATGTAATCACCAGATCGCATTAAAGCGTAATGTCTCGGACCGGTCCGTGTTTTATTATAATAATATATCATCCGCATATACTGTTATATAATGGATCGGAGTTAATTTATCTGGTCACCATAGAGCCGATGACCGTTTTAAGTGTTTTTTTATCTGTCACCGAATTGGAATTGGCGGGACGTGTATCACCTTCTAGAATGGATGGACGAGGTTTGACTTTTTCGAATTCTGACAGATAAGCAACCGGAGGTGGCATTTTAAATTGTTTAAAATTTGTTTCTTCTTTGTGTTCATAAATTTTGCACTTTTTTAAATTTTGAACTGAACAAAATGTAACTTAGTATCATACGAAATAAGATTTGTGTTTTATAACGTTTTAAACATTTTAATCTAAGATAAACGCGGCGTATTACTCTTCTTTTCTTGTTTTCCCAACAAAAACAATCGATGGGAGGGTAAAGTTTTTATCTATGGTACGGTCACGCGGTAGTTTCGTCTGGTGAGTGAGGTAACCGGGGCCTAATTATTTATTTGCAATGCGTCTGCCACGCATGCTGTACTGGAGATATCCATTGGTGTCAGTAGTCAACGTGTCAACTTGACACCGTATTACATTAAAAAACAATCCTATGCAAATAAACGAATCGAAACGGTGTCTATATCATGATTAGTAATGGCTCAAGTGCCAAAAACAACTAGTTAACCGATACGTTAAACTGTCTAAGGGATTATTAAGGAATTTAAAAACTACAGAGCGTTTTTAATTAACTAGCGAATGCGTGCGTTGTGTCAGGTAACGGAATTGCCGCAGGCGGCTGAGCGTAATAGATAATGAGCGAAATGCTTGTCTATGGGCTAACACTTCATAATTTTTATTATCTGTAAACCTCCCGAGCGTGGCGCTATTTGGCCCCGGTGGCCACGAAACGCACGCGGCCCTAGAAACTAATTAACTACAAGAGTCGAATATGTATTTAAACAAACCCTTTACGCGTTTGTTTTAATACGTTCTTAACAATGCATGTTTTCTTCAAAGGCATCGTTATTTCAATTGCGTGTTGCATGTGACATTGTTATTTTTGGTTACATATTTAATTACTAACAACTTAACAAGTAGTTTAAACGCGTAAAGAGTGAAATATAGCCCTATAGCTTATTGATAATTGCAGTGATCATGCATGGATATTGGGCTATGTCTATTGATTGTTTACTTTTTAAATTATCTTTCAAAATGGAAAGAAACCAACGCTTTACACGTTTTGTGAGTTTTCTTCCAGACCTTTAAAGTTCCTTATGATAACGCTTGATATTAATTATAGGACAGGTGACTAAGGAAACTGTGGCATTTTTGGCAATTGAAATTTTAACAAATAATTTCGATAATCGGCGATCTATATATTTATCTTTTGAAACTTAAATATATCTTATAGAGAACAATTGCAGAGAATTGTAAAGTATAACCCTCAATTGATTCCAAACTTGAATCGAGCATAGCACAGTCACCCGCCGTCGCATACCCTACACGTTAACGGAGAACAACCTTATTGCTGACCGAAAGTTCTGGGGTCCCACGCCACTCCCGTGCCATTATCGAATCCGCGCGACGGCGCGGCGTCTTCGAACGCTCGAAGCATAAAAATCCAGTTTACATTATCGCGAAATAACGTACACAACGGCCGGCGTTATCTTTACGGTGCCAGCTAAGTGCCAATAATAAGTTTAATGCCCCGACGTACGCCAATTGGCGTCTCGGTCTTAGAAAAGTGACATTTCACGGCGACCACAACCTCCCTTTGGTTGTTCCCAACTTATTTCCCGCGCCAAAAAAATTCAAAGATTAAAGCATATACTTTCAAAAAGAAATAATAAAAATTTTGAAGTAAGCAACGTAGCTCTTTCGAAGCTCCGATATTAGCCGTATATAATAAATAGAACGGCGCTGTCTATCATATTTAATTGGAACACAGGACGTATCGTATGAGATAAAAAAACAATAACCGCTGCAGAGTGCAATGCGACCTTAAAATGCTATCGATCTATATAAACTCGTGTACACAGATTATACAATTATAACGTGTGTGTTATTTTTAATCTGCGGCTTTTTATTTACCCATGAAATAGTTTTGAAAATTAAACATGGCGCCTGTGTGTAGTAATGGCGGCACGCTACCGGCTGATCGAGATATTATTGTTTTTATTATATTTCAAACGCGATACTTTTACTTAATCAATTTAACTACATAATAAACACAAGTGTTATTCCTCGTTTATAATTTATTCGTATCAACTATGTAGTAATCGTAACCTAATTGAACATTACACGCGATAACTTTCGTCTAAAATATTTTACTAATCAACCAATATAAGTAATTAAAATATTTTAATATGAAATATATAGGTACACTCAGATTGCGTTAGCTGTCTAAAGTTAAAACCTGTTTTCTTAAATAATCTAAATTACAAACAAGTAATTGTGCCGACGGAAGTTTTAATAATACATTATTATTATTATTATCTTAAATCATTCAATAGGTTATTTTAAATCGCAATTTAGTTTTTTATACATGTTAAATGATTTGACGACATGTTATATATCAATTTAAACTTAATTGAGTGCCTCTTTGTCCAGTCTGACATGATATTTGATTGTTTGGAATAGGTACTATATAACATTTTGCATATAATATTGTCACTTATTGTATTTTACATTGTTTATTTAACCAACTGATACAAACTAAATAATAAAAGACTGTCGTAATTTCAGATTCTAAATAAACAAATTGTAAATGTAAAGAAATTATAAGCAGGAGATATTAAAACTTATAGTAGAATGTTCTTATCTTTAACGATGTGTTTAATTTATTGTTTCAAAAATACAACATTTACAAGGTTTGCCATAATGTTTATTATTAATAATAACAACAGTGAATAAATAGGGACGATTTAACGTTTTAATTGTTAACTGAAGGATGATAAGAAAACCAATAAATTATTTCTAGTTATACATTTTCTATGTTCTAGTCTAATACCTAATTAGAATAACAATGTAAAAATGCAAAAATTTTTGTTTTTATGTATAATTACTTTTAGAATACTTGATTCACATTATAATATTATAAATGAAACTAAACTAACATTAAAATTCTTAATTATACTTTTACCGACGCTGCCAATGAACTGAATAGTTTTTCATCTTTCTTTTTGTAAATATAAGCATAATCGCGTTATTTAAGTAGTATTGCGAACCACATCTATTAAAGAAATAGTAAATTGTTTTTAATCACTTCGTTCATTTCTTGCAGGCTTTATTTTAAGATCACAATTCAGACACGTGAAATACAAACATGTGAGATATGCTTTTATCTAATATTATCTTGTTTTAATCAATTTTCTTTCTGAAAACCATTGCCGCCGCTCACACAATTTTCAGATAATTCCGTAATATTTGATTTTTACGGCTCGTCAAACGGGTAATTTAATATTAGGGCTTTGATTGGGACCTACCTATTGTCTAAGCCCGTTGTAAAGAAGTCTTAGGTATCTTTTGGACGCTGAACGTGATATGGACTTGGCTGCTTCAAGCTGCGCTTTCCACTTTAAGATCTCGCTGTTTTCGGCACCAGCTCGAGTCGTGAACGCGTTGCGAAGGCGCCAATGGGTACGCGATGCCGTTTTCATTACACGTTACGCACAAAAAACGGGCGCCAACGTGCGTCCAGCTTATCACGGCCAGCGCGGAGCCACCGCCGAAACCGGCATTATCGCCGATTACGGCGCTCTACAACACGACAAATTGATACGCTTATCGGCCTATCATAAACTTTACGATGTCCTCTCGCGCCACAATGTGCGGACAAGTCTTGTGTCAATATCGTTCCGCGCGTTTTTTTTTAATTTAGGCCCGGCCCGGGCGGCCCGTAAACTCGAGTGGTGCAGTAAAACACGGCGAAATTCATTTGTTCACTAAACGCTTATCCTGGACCATTCACTTAATTGCATATTTCATGCGGATAGTAAATTAAATATCCAGTTGGAATTGTATTACTTCGAAATTCATATACTTAATATTAATTTTTCTTCAAATTAAGACTAACCAATCAGTCAAAACAAATAACTTAAAACTTGCTAACAAGTTTTTTATCATCTGTAAGGCGATATTTGTAATTACTAACGCTATTTTTAAACATTTCTTTAGCTACAGATAAAAAAGATAATAATTTCAGGTTATCTGTCGACGCTGATCTTGGATTTGAAAAAAATTAATCACTATTTGTTGTTAGAAAAGAATTAAAACGCGTCGTGTTGTAAAAATTTGCCTCCAACACATTATAATTAACAATGCTACGAATTTAGTTCTCAGTTTTAATAAGCTCTTCACTCCGCTGGCCGGTCAATGATTTAAATGAAAATTTATGTAAATCCCCATCTTGCTTACACAGCCATTAGATGCGTTACGAAATTCAAATATTTCACCGGTGTATTGTAGTCACGAAACTGAATTATTTGGTTAGAAATCGTTACATTGGGACTGAAGTAAAATGGCAAACGGGGGAAATGTTCTCGTATTTTATTTATAATGGCAATAAACCTGGCGTTTTGTCTAAGAACGTGACGTCGAGATTTAACTAGTACATCGAATAAATTATATTTGTAATAAGTAAAATCGCGTGTCCATGGTCGAAGTGAAAATTTAAAACTTTAATGTACAGATCGTATCGCGGATCTGAGGCGAACGCACTGAATATTTCTAAGTTGCACGTGTTACAAACGCGATTAGCCACATTTTATACTTGTACGGCGAATTGAATATGTGAGTACCTATATGTCGAAATTATGCGTTGTAGTTATCAAAGGATAAAATAGGCAACTAGCCGCCTAGGCCACGCGGCTAGTGCAGGAGAATAACGCACCGATTGGCCGTGGCACAAATGCCTTATAGATATTAACAAAAGATTACCTTTGCCTCGGAATAAGTTGATATAATCTGTGGTGTCAACTGCTTTCGGCGGGAAGTTGCGTTGTCAGTTTTTTCTTTCAATAAATGAAACTTGTTTAAAACTACAGTTCAAATTTTCATTACATACCTTTATAGGAAACTTAAAATGCCCGAGGCGAGTAATTATTCGGGCGTTCCGACGGTAACTTTATCAATCATTTTATTTAAATTTTCGAAGTCGTTTCCTATACGATGTACTTTTTCTTTCTTATCTATTTCATCGTTCACATAATTATATTAATTTGTATTTGTGCAAGTTGTTGTGTTGTTACAAAATATTACAAGCGATAGCATCAAAATGACTTTATTAATTTAACGGACTTCTTAAACGCGCTCCACAATTTAGTTTATTAAACGGGTTAACGGCATTTAAATAACTTTTACGTTGAGCAACAGCTTTAAATAAAGTCGTGAAGTAGTCTGTAAGTTATTCGAGTTTATATCGATGTTTCATTTAACGGTTTTTATTATAACATAGAGTCGGAATAACCGATTCAAATGACAAAACTGCCGCAGCTTGGCTTCGGCACAGCGCTAAAAGACGCATACTGCAAGTCGGGGTTGCACTTTTTTCCTCAACTACGCCCAAAAACAATGCAGCCCTAAATCTTTTAGAAAGTTGTCTCCGCTTGTTCCGTTAGGGTGTCATTGTGGTGCACACCAAAGGAGTTTTTTCCTCTAGTTGTCAATTGAATTTTATTGTCGGATCCCGAGATAGGCCCTTTTGTGCCCAACCGTGCGTTCAAAGCCGCTTGTGGCCCCGCCAGGGTCTGTCCCGGGCTCCATAAGAGCAGCCGTCGACAATGGGCCCCCCGCTGCAACGCCGTTTCGTCCCATTCATTGTCGCGAACGTTTTAACAGGCCCCAGCGATTCTATCAGGTGTCCGCCATATTCGCATGCATCGAGGCCTCACGCCGTATAATGCCGTTTGTCTCCCTATGTGCGGAGGTGAGCCGGTAGAGTAAACTGTTTTTGGTTCGGCAACCGTGGGGGGTCGTAAATCGTTATGAGATCATTCGACTCTTGGTCCTGTCAATATGTTTTCGAACATCTATTTAAAATTTTCCAATTTTGTAAAAACTATTAGAGCTAATAAAAGTTATTGCCGAGTTGGTTATAAGTTTCTGGACTTATAACTTGTTTCATACTATCTACAAAACACGTATCTAGTCTGTTGTACTTTAAAATGTTATTTTGACCTACTCGCGAATTATTCGCGTCTATCGATGCAACGGCCTAAGTCCGATTCCGAAATGTAAGCGGCAGATTTAACAAAGGACCTTATTTTCCCGCGCACAAACTGTCCGCTCGTAACATACGCCACCTAATACAATCCTACCAGCTGCCCGTTAATAGAAGATCAGTTCACCGAGCGCGCGTTAGATTAGAAACCATTCGTTACATACCCTAGGCTGAGCCATTAGAGCTCGGCCCGAGCCCGGGTGCAAGGCTCCGCTGGCCACCACGAACGTTTCTCTGTCACGGGCCCAAGCTAACACAACACACAAGCACGTGAACACATACACACGGTAATATATATTGGGTTGACACCGTCACAGCGGCCCGCTAGCTCACTAGTGTCATAGTGCACACGCGACGGTCGAGTTCGGGGCGGTAGTCGATTGCGGGGCGCGTCGGGGCCGAGCGAGGCGCGGGGAGCGGGAGGCCCGGCGCGCTCGGCGGTCTGGCGGACACTGCGCGCCGCGGCGGGCCGCGGGCCCCGCCGGGGCGTGGCGCCCGGCCCCGGCGCGCCACCCAATCGCCGCCCGCCGCCGCGCCCCTCCCGCCCCTCCCGCCCCTCCGGCCGCTCTACCGCGCCCTCCGCGCTCTACCGCTCTCCTCGCCGCCCGCCACTCGACCGCGCGCCACCGCACGGACGCGCGCCTCCCGCCGGCTGCGTCGGCCGGGCGCGCTCACACTATCCTGCCGTGCGCCATGGTCTGTGTATGCTATTCGGCAGGAATGCACCGAGACGCGGACGACACGCCGTCGGCGTCAAAGTATGCTCGGTAGAACAGGTGTGTCGTTAAGGTCCGCGCATGCGCCGCCACCCGGTACCCTTAGAGGCGTAGTTAAGACGTGAGAACTTATCCCGATCCGTAGGCCAAGCTGGACAAAGTATCTGCCTACACCTGCCCGTGCTCAAGTGCAAGAGAAAATTTCAAACATGTTTGTGATCGAATGCAGTCAGTATAAAATAACAATTTCATCGCGTCCTTTAAGACACGCTAAAACATCTGAGGCGAAGGCGGATCGAGGCCACAAGTATTGCGTTTTATGAATCTACGTAAATCTTTCAAGGAAATGTTGTGGACGTATTCTATGATCAAACACAGCGTAATTGGCTATTGAAAAACAATAAAATTACACTTAAATCTTTTTTAATTTAATTCAAACACAAATAAATTTATTTCCTTGCAAAAAATAGTAACTAAAAACTCTGTGAGGCTAATTCTAACCTTTGGATTAATTTATCGAACCATTTACATACCATTAAATTATACTAATAACGTATCTAAATAAATTTATATAAAATTACAATGCCTTACTCGAGCAAATAATTCTTCTGCTGGAACGTAATCTTTAAGTAGAAACCAACCTGAAATTTTAAACTAAACATATAATAAGTATTTGTTAAATAAAAGTGGTAAACGGCGTCATCGCGATAAAATTGGATTTTAATTGTCTTGATTTAGAACGCCATATATGACTCAAAAGAAATGATTCTTAGTGAAACATAATACTAAATGGCGGCTACATAAACGGCTTACAATGCAGAGATTAAAAACTGGAGAGACATTCTTCTTTCAATCATAGAGACCAGTTGTCGTTAACAATTTCGCTTAAGTAGTTTTATTAGCGAAACAATGTTCGCATTTTGGAGATTTAACTCACTTCGTGGATTACGCGTAACTTTTAGATTGCTTTTATTTTTAAATGAGCTTTGAGAATTCAACGGAACTGTGCTATGCCTTAACTGGACTAACTAATGCCTTAATAAATTGTCACTAATACCTTAAATAAATTGTCACTACAAACACCAAAATGTTCGTCATTAAAGGCTCTTGTATTTAAATATACATAATGTTATTAAGCATACGTAGGGATATAAAAATATTTACAATATTTTACACCTTATCGCAGGAACTAATATTATACACAGAATACTTCCTGTACTTATAAAATTGATTAATTGTTCAAATTATAGAATTTCATTCGAAAAAGAAAAGGAACACAGGTTATTTTATTTAATTAAAAATCTTTTAAGAAGTACAAGAAATCAGTGTTCGATTTTTAATAAATCCAAATGAATCTAAAATATTTACTGTATGTTGAACTATTCAATGAAAATCACCCGATACATAAGTCAGGTCCAATTATTTCCCGCCCGATATATAACGTGGCAACTCCCTAAATCGGCAGTTTTTAAATGAATGACGTTATTCGTACAGAGAAGTTTATTTTTCATTCTGTAATGGACACTGTAAGATACTGCTCGCACGCGTTCATCACTAAGTTAGGTATCTACCGTTGCTCAAAAAATGCAAAGTTTTTCGCGTCTTTTTGCGAGACAAAGGAAACGTTGAAAAGGTTTACACGGCTAATTGATCGTCGAACAAATTGCCAGTGCCCGCTGCAGATTTATTGCACGCATATAGAATGAGGAAAACACATTTCGAATGTAATGACGTCCAACATTGTCTCCGATAAGCGCGGGCTATCTGATTAATGTCGATTTAGCTAAATAAATTTGCGAAACGCTCATTAAGATGTTGTTCAACCAACAGTTAAGCTTTACTTTAATTTGCTCTCGTCGTGATCTTGGTTCTCTTAGTACAGTGGCTAATTGAGATAGATTAAATATGGCTTCAGTTTTAATTGCCTTTCTTTTTAATTTAAACGTTAAAGGCCTGCCATTTATGCGTTTTGCCACAGGACCTAGTCTGACGTATAACTGCAACTGTTGTAACCGTTGCCACATGGTTTGCCAATAGCTTTGAAACAGACATTTTACCAGCGCATTAAGAAACTATTCTTCTATGGAGTCATTCATGTAGAGTTACTCCATAAAAGAATTGTGTTTTCCAAAAGCGTTATGTCACATTCAATCTTTATTTCAGAGCTATATTAGTTGATATATAAAATGTTCTTCTGTTTGTACGATCTTTCGGTTTTATATTATCTCTAGACAACATAAACTAAACTCTAACATAAAACTTTATAATCCAACAATACTATTCTAGTGACGTCCATTATACAATTACCACGTAAAACATTAAAAAAAACATAAAATCTTAAAAATAGTAAATATTCGATGTAAATTTATAACTTGACGATTTAGTATGTTAAATAAATACGTTGAATATGAAATTCTGAATGGTTTTATTTCGTTCATTGCTGGTGAATTTTAGTCTAGTTTAGCCGAGTTAACCGAGGTAATCGTCTTTTAAAGGATTAAGAAAAAGTAATGACAGTCGGTAGATTAAATGTTAAGAAAGAAAGCACGTCAAGTGAACACAAAAGTTACGAGTTAATTTATATCAGTTAACTGTTTATAAGAAAAAGGCCTTCTCAGTGTAACCTAGTATATTTAGACGTCTTTGTCTTCTGTGTAAATAATATTACACCCTTTGTAAAGAACTATAAGACATTATTCATAGATGTATTTAGCTTGTTAGGTATTTTCGCATTTGTAAAATCTCTCTCTTTTGATCTGAAGGTAATATTTTAATTGTGCAAATACATAAAAAACTATAAAAGTTCGATAAAATGTTTAATTTAAATATTCTAAACAATCGAAGCAGATTTGTTTTACTTTATATGAAAAGTATATCAATAAGAATTAAAAAGAGTTCATAGAGGAACTTTATTTTTTTAAAGAACACTGAGATGATTAGGGTGGTAAAATATGAAATAAGTATAAAGACGCGACTAAACTTTAATAAAATGCATTCTTTTTAACTTCTTTCTTGTATTGATTAAAATATAATTAAAAAAACTAAGTTCATTTAAAATTTCCTTATCTCAGCGAATAGATTCTAATAGTAAACTATTTCTAATAAATTTAAATCAATAGCTTAAAACCTCTAAATGTTTTTTTTTTTTTTTTAATTTAGTGTTTTGCCGGAAATCGACGCCGGCGTAATCGCACATAAAGTTTAATTCGACATTATTATTATTTTAGTCTTGGAATTAAAACTTGATAAGAAAGAAAATACAATATTCTACAAATGCAATATGACGATAAAAAAAATGTTTTATATGCATGGTCTGTTCTAGAATACATTAAAGTAATTATAAACAATCTCACACACACTGTAACCAACATATTCTCAACTCCTACGTATTCAGATATCGACTTCTTGTTCTTACGCAAATGTAACACACGATTAAATGAAACTATTTTACGGATCTTATATATCCGATAAAATCCGTGAAACAGTTCCATCGTGCAAACGTACTAAATCATCTCCGACTATTCCTAAACCACAACTCAACCTGAACCCACAAAATAACTTTATAAGATGTCATTCGGTATTTAAAACGGTTGGAAATGTCCAACCGTAATGCGAAATACGCATTAAAATATCGCGAGATCACCATTTATTCGCTATGAGATGATTCACAAGCGGATCACGGTATTAAAACTGATGTTTACGAGGCAAGCGTTTGGTGTTTCGATGGGTCGGTGCATCACCGCCAGAAATTATCTGCAAAAGGCACAAAGGATACAAGAAATGATATAACTTATTTAAATTACGAACTGTCTTGAAATGATTAAATCGTTCAACAGAGTCTGGCGTATTACCGTCTCGGTCTATAATTATTATTTGCCAAATCAAGAAACTATCTTCTATGATACAATGATTTTTTGATACCTTTGAACCACAAGTACCAAAGTTGCAAATAAAAACTGGAACACAACGATGAACTCAGTATATTTTTAAACATCTAATTAAACCTAAAACTATTCTATTTCTAAAAACTGGTAGAGTTATTCAATATTGAAGTAAGTAAAATGGACAAAGTAAGAATGTTTGTCATTATCCGTGTGATGCTTGAGTGGCATCACTACATACACGGTTTATATCAGTGATTAATAGAAACTTTATTTGATTTGTAGATATTATTAACAAGTGAAATAAATTTGTTTACCACTTAGAATATAATTTTTTTGTCTTTTTATTTAACACAATGTGGTAACTGTTATTATATACTCAATCTTATCGTCAAAATTGTCTTAATGGGCAAGCTGCTACATGGATTGCATATCAATAAATTTGACAGTATGGATGTTACCAATACGATGGTTTATATTGTGCCAAGAACAGTCACAAGACGCGGTGCACAAGTGCTGCAACTGTTATATACACTGAAAAGTGTAGAACAAATGTTGCGCAGCGTGCACCACTTTGTAGATTTCTAGATGTAACTATATAACTCAAAATTTATCAACTGTGATTTGTTTTCACTCTCCCAACACCAGTTTATAAGAATGTACACATCATTACTTAAATCGTAACGTGAGAATTGGGTTAGGAACTTAAATCGGTTCTATTTTTATTTTATCTTTTTTAATATTATTTTGCTGTTTCTGGTATCGATTACTCGTTTAGAAAGCTAATTTTAAATTGTAAGTTTTGTGTAGAATTGTTAATTTATAAACGTCCTAGTGTTTGATGTCTCAATAAATGAATATAAAAGTCTTGACAATAACTCTAATGAGTAAATTCTCCCAGCAGCGGTAGTGCGCGTTATATTCGCAAAAGACAGCAATCAGGGTCGTCGTTTATATTGATAATGGTAAAATTTGAACTTGATACCTCAGCTGTAATAAATCTTCTAGAGTTCTTATGAAAGCAACGAATGTATATTGTACATGTAAGATTAAAAAGCAGTATAGGTTAAAAATACATGAACGACATAAAAAAATGCAAAGGAAGATGACAGTTATTTCAGACGAAGGCAAAGCTTTTAATTAAAAAGAAAAGAGACTTTTTAAGAAAGAA